CGCCAGCGGAGCTCGCTGGTTTTTCGAAAATGACGCCGATCCAAGCTTGGACAAGCATCAAAAGATAGAGGTCGCTTTGCACCTCAGACTTCAACTTCATACAAACGTCAAGTGTCTTCTAAAAACCTCTCACAATGGATGCAGAAGCGAAACCGTTGGCAGAGCTTCCATCGTTTGGTCGTTTTCTTAACTTGGCGTTTGTATCGAACGCACCCACATTCGATGAAACGAAATCCAAAATCCGCAGCAAGATCGCTCGCGACTGACGTCGCTGGAGAAAAGGCACGTTCCGGTCGTCCTAGGGCACTTGCCTGCTCGAGTGCGTCAGATTCTGCTACGATAAGGACCTGTGTGTATTAGTCTTGGTGAGTGGCAACTTCAACGCTGCACCCGAACCTCTATAAAGTAATATAGAGCAACACGATTTCGCGACGAGCATGTTGACAGTACAGTAGTTAGTGTCATACACTATTACCGTGCTTCTTGAATGCAGCCACGTAATTTACCCGTAAATAGGGACCAAAAGGTCAAGCTGGTGCGATCCAGCAAGATCTCTCTTTCTTCTTTAAGTGAAAAAGTTTTTGGTCGCCCCCCTCCTCGGCGGACCAAGGTCGGACTGATTCGGAAAATCGCGCCCCACCAGTCGCCTGCGATCTTGCGAGCAAAGCGAGCGACCATTCTCGGTACGGCCAGCGATCTTGCGCGTAGCGCCCTTGCGTGCACCTCAATGTCGTGCCTGTAGAGCTTTCTCTCGCGATTCTTCCTGGTGTGTTGTTTTCCGGACTTTTTCGGATACGTGATCGTCAATGGGCAATAGTGAAATCAATATTGCCACGCTTCCAGACCACAGCTTTCTGGCCAGTTTGGGTTCATAGAGACGTGACTGCGTCAGCCCGCCGCCACCACGCCTGCTCCGACATGCCTGTCAAATCCGAGTTCTCGCTGCTCCGTGATGACACGAGAGACTCCTACTTCTGACATCTCCTCGGTCCGCGAGCGCAAGCGGTTAGCGCAACGTAAGTACCGGGCACGAATAAAGGAGCGCGAGGCGAGAGACAAGCAAAGGAAGCAAGAGCAAACGGAGGCCAAGCGCTTGAAGGCTTTAGCTGCACTCAAAGCCAAACGGGTAGCGAAGAGCATTGCGGTGGTGCTCGATTCAGAGGGCAACCAAGAAGCTGCAGTAGTTATGCAAGGTAAGCAGTGGTCGCGTAGGATATATCCGTAAGGGTCTACTTCCTTAGCTGAGCGTGGTGTTCGTACTCCACCGCATGAGCGACCCGTCAAACGTGACAACCCGAGTGTACAGCCACTCCCAAACGTGTGCAGCGACGTACGCGCGCCATCGGCATGTGGGCGCAAGGCCGCTGCCCCACAGACGAAGCCATGGACGTCAGAACCGCCTCCGCGCCCAGAGCCCTTGCGCCGTGCGGCTCGACCGCTCGAACGCCTCGCGCCGCGGCCGCCATGGACGTCCGCGCCACCACCACTCCCTGAATCTTTGCGCCGTGTAGCTCGACCGGCGGAAGGCGTCGCGCCGACTAATGGCCCAGAATCCCGTCCTGCCAAGCGGTCGTGAGCGGAACGACCGCCCGCAACGTGTCTGCCTACTCCGCGGCCCCCGAAGGGCAAAGGCCCGATGCCGAAAGGCAAGGGCAAAGCAAAGAGACCCGTCGATTCGGCGTCCCAGCCCGAGCCTGATCCAGAGCCCGAGATGGATGGCGACTCGGATCCGGAAGTAGTACGCGAGCCCCGCGTTGCACCCGTCGCCATTCCTGAGCGTTGGTTCGACGACTCCGACGTTGACGACGACAACCAACGACGTACCAGTAACTTGACGGTTGCGCCTCGGGCCGCAAACGCGCATACACATCCGGAATCCGCTCCTTCATTGGCCATGGACATTGGTAACGTCCAACGTGCGCACGACGAGTCGATTGCTACCGCGGCAACGGCGGTGCAACGACGGGACGCGTCCTCGCGGTCCTGTGCGCCGTGTTCGTCGATATGCTGCGTGCGATCGGCAACGGGTCCTACGATCGTGATGTTGTCGACCTTGGAGGCTTCGGCGACGAGTACATCTGTCTACCTGAAGACATCGTCCTTGATGGTGCGACCACTCATGCGCTCTCGGACCTGATCGAGTTCGTCTATCCGGCCCTCCCGTCAGTGCCAATCAACGCGCTCCCAGGATACCTGGCCCAGAGAGCTATACTGGCACCGAAGAACGACATCGTCGGAGCAGTCAACAACATAGTCCTTAGCCAACTGCCCGTCGCCGCCGCTGCCAACCACTGCGTGTATTCGTCAGCCGACAGCGTCGAAGCCTTGGACGACGAGGTCCAAGCTGCGGCCGCCAACGATAACGTCGACGCCGTACAGGACGAGGCTACGCTCAAGTACCCAGTCGAGTTTCTTAACACTGTCAACTTGGCCGGCTTTCCGCCGCACCGTCTCGAGCTCAAAGTCAACGCCACCGTCATGCTTCTGCGCAACCTATGCCCGCGAAGAGGTCTGTGCAACGGCACGCGCTTGATGGTACGCTCATTGCGCGACAGGTGCTTCGAGGCTTCGATATTGACTGGAGCTCATGCGGGCGACATTGTATTCATACCACGCATCACGCTTATCAACGACGGACCGAGCAACACTCTTCCGTTCAAGCTCAAGCGTCTGCAGTTTCCCGTGTGCCTTGCGTTCGCCATGACAATCGACAAGTCGCAAGGACAGACAGTACCCCGTATTGGCATCTTTCTGCCGGAGCCAGTATTTGCGCACGGGCAGCTGTACGTGGCTATGTCCCGCGTTCAAGCTCGCGCTGATATCAAGATTTTGGCTCTCAACTCGAAGTCGGCTAACGGACGGACGTACACGAAAAACATTGTTTACGACGAAGTTCTCGATGACACGGATCGGCAACTAATTGTCAACGACGCTGCACCACAGTAGCAACGTATGCTATGCATTTCCATTAATAAATCCATTGTTTCAGCAATGCTTCCAACCAACGCAGGACTACCGCACCTCCACAGTGAAGATACGACCCGGAGAACCAGACACCACCAAAACCAAAGACAACTCAGCCACAAACTCCACCAACCTAACGATAAATGGGCTCACCCTAGTCAAGCGATATAAGAACAAGTGTTCTTATATCCCGCGAGCTACATTGACGCAAGGAGCACGCCTTGGTAGCAGCAGCAGCCCATGACACCGCGACACACTGTAGAGCCGTTGCGACTGTGTCTTGAACAATGGACTTGTTCGTCTGCGAGCTGCCCTTTGAGCAAGACGTCAAGTATTGATATACTGCTACTAGTACCAGGTATTGTCAACGAGAGTCCTTGACGAATTGCTTCTGAAAGCGTATTCGTGTCACCGCAAGAACACAACCCTGTCAGTGCTATATGCAGCTCTATAACAGCGTCACGGCTTCGTCTTTCCTTGCCGCGGTGATGAGTTCCGTCGTCATGACGAGGGTGACACGACTACGTACCGGTAGTGCACACACCGCATGTCTGTACGCCATCAAGCAGGTGCATTCAAAATCCCGTCGCGGCTTACTTATTCTGTTCGTGTCCCTACCATCACTAGGTCGTTGGCTTCCTTTCATAACGTCGATAACGACAGTACGGATTGCATACCAGATTTATCGCGCAGACACCCACTTTGTTCGTACCGCGCACAAGAATCGGCGCACGAGGCGTCGCCAGCTCATGGCTCCCCCTGGCTTCTCGGCCTACCGCCGCCTTTACCTGCTTCAGAGCCGTGCACGTTGCCAGCACTGGCACCATTGGCTGCCACAACGGAAATAAGCCACTCGCCGCTCTCGTAGGCACGTGCTCTTGAAGCTTTGGCTTTGTCACACTTGCTTCAAGAATCGCCCGCCAGCTGGCGCCGCACTGTGGACACGGGCGTCGTCGGCAGTACGAGGTCTGCACTCGCACCCGTCGCTCCTATGGCTTGCAGCTGCGCTACGATTGGCCGCTACGTCCTGTGGCATGTCATTGCTTCAACTGCAGTCGCCAGGCGTCCGTCCGCGCCACCTCACTTCGTTTCGACAGGCGGCAGCCGGCCTGGCATATGCTATGCCCAATCACACGAGGGGTAGCAATCCGACCAATGAGACACGAGAGCACTTTCAACAAGATATCTCGTCATCGTCTCAATTCCAAGGCAAACGGCAATCTCGGGCGATGGCCGGCGAAAGCGTCAGTAAGAAGCAAGATACGCGCCTACTCTACTTGCGATTGAGCGAGATACTACTTGACGCAGTCAAGAGCTTTGGCACACTGGGTCGGCGCTGCGTCGTATCTGACGTGATGCAAGAAGATGTTGATGCAACACATTTCGGTGAGGTGTGTGTGTCTTTACAACATTGCAAGGTATAGGATGAGCTTGGCCAGGTGCGGAGATGCATCTTGTACCGTGCGTCGCCCAGGACAGGGCTAGCTAAGTGCGGGTGCTGGCACAGCACGGCGGTAATTGCTGGCGGTGGTTGGTCCTGCTCTGTCAAGGACCGCCGCTACGTTGATCGCGAGCGTATGCATCACGTCGTGGCAGCACATCATTGGTCGTGTCCCGCTGCATCCAACCACTGAACGGCAGCGAACGCACTGGAAGCAAGCCTTGTGGTCGTTTGGGAGACGTTTCCGACTTGCCTATCCTATATTGAGACGGTATTGGTACATTCGGCAGGAAAAGACATTGCACTTGCGGTCATTGGCGCGGAGATGGCGCGCCTGGACTTCCGTGGCTATGCCCGCTCTGATCTCACGCAGGTGTACGGTAGGTCCAGTGCCAGCTGGCGATTAGCTGGCGACGACCAGCGCTGCCTCAACAAACGCTACGAGCTGCTTTTCCTCTGCTTCATTCTTGGATTCGCTCACTACTCCACAGTCGTCATGGCGCACCCCTCTGAGACGCCGTACGTGCAGCCGTCTTCCGGCATCGCCGATGGCATTGCGCGCAAGGTCATGTTCTTCGGCATCCTCGCCATCTTCCTCCTCATCAACGTCATCGTCTTGTACGCGCTGCACTTTACGTCGGCCGGCGTCCCGGCCTCAGCCTCCAACGTCAAGGTCTCGAGCGACGCGTTCAAGGTCGGCTCCATTGACAAGAAGGTCGTGAGCTTTGGCGACGACGGCTCGATCGTCGTGGGCGCTGGCACCACGGGCTACCTCGACGCCGTCGCCATGCCCAACGACGCGATCAACTACATTACGCTCGCGCCGATCGGTGCCAACGCGTCGTCGACGGCGATCCTCGCCTACTATCTCAAGAACAAAACGACGACCGTCATCACGACGCTCACGATCAACGACGACAAGACGACGACGGTCAGCACGAAGCAATCGACGGCCGCCAACGTCCAAGTGCGTGGCATCGCGACGCTCTCCAACTCGCAGGCCGTCTTCCTCCAGTCGACGGCCATGGGCAAGACGTCGCTCGTGCCCGGCTCGATTGCGTCGGGTGCCGTCACATACCACGATACCAAGGCCGTCGAGATTGCGTCCGGGTCCGTCTCCAACACGCTCGCCGCGCTCTCGCCGACGACGTTTGCGGCCACGACGTACCAGCCGTACTCGGAGAACAGCACGTACTTCCAGGAGATCCAGGCCGGGTCCATCTCGGCGGACGGCGTCATCACGATGGCCAAGCCGCTCGCGATCGGGACGGGCAACTCGGCGCTGCAGTCGGTGACCAACTCGGGCCCGGAGCCGATCGCGGCGCTGCCCAACTCGTTCATTGTCACGTGGTTCGCGTCGAGCAAGGACCCGAACGCGACGACGGCCAAGTCGGGTCTCTGCGTGCTCTTCGCCAACATCAACGGCACCGAAGTCAGCAAGATCAAGGAGACGTGCAACACGCAGTACCAGCCCGAGTACTTTGTCGACTCGACGACGATCTCGGACTCGGTCGTCGCGCTCAGCTTCTACGACGCCAACAACAACAACGCGCTCACGCTCGTCATGGTCGAAATCAACGCGTTCACGAAGAAGATCTTCTTCCGCGGCGCCTACGTCCTCGCCGGCGTCGGCGGCGCGTTTGACTTTGGCTCGTACTTTGGCTTTTACCCGACGCCGTTCATCCAGGCGCTCTCGCCGACGAAGCTCTCGGTGCTCTTCCTGAACCCGACCAACCGTGGCCGCCCCACGACGCAGATCTTCCAGATCACCGACGCGCTCACGCTCACGCCGATCTCGCCGCTCCTCCGCCTCTCGAACGGCGACTTTACGCTCGCGGGCGCCTTGCCCAAGGCCACGTCCGGGGTCGTGGCGCTGGCGGCCCTCCCGCTCGGCGGCAACAGCTACCTCGCGGCCTACTCGGGCGACCTCGCGTCCATCAACCACAAGCGCATCTCGATCGTCGAGTACAAGGGCAAGCCCATCGGCGTCGGCTCGGGCTCGGACAACCTCGTCATGAGCGGCGTCGTCGATGTCGGCAGCAACTACGTGGCGGGCAAGGCCTACTACGCGACGACCAAGGGCGACATCCTCGCGGCCACGAGCACGGACGCCGACGCCGACTACTTCTTCGTCGGCAACACGACGATCGTCTCCAAGGATGCGCGCGTCGGTGTCGCCGTCTCGTCGAGCAAGCTGTACCTCTCGAGCTCGATCTAATCGGACTATGTAATACCACCCGCATCTCTGAACGGACAGAAGAGTTGTCGAGGTCTGTGAACGGATAGAAGGAATATGGAGCGTTCATAGAAGGATGCCAGCACCAACACCCTGTCAGCAGGCACCATGTCACTTTGCAAGGGATGCAGACAGCAGGTCGAACTGGAGCTCGAGCTCTACGCAGATAGATACACACGCAAGAGGAGCTCGAGACCAGCCTAGGGAATGCAAGTCGACATGGAAGAGCGCACATGGCGAGAACGACGATGATCCAAATGCTTAAAACGGCAACAAGGCGCAATGGAGCATGTCGAGGTCGGCCCTTCGAGACGGCGAGAGCACGACGAGGCCGTTCTGCAGCTGCTGGAGCAAGTGCTCGAGCGGCACGCAGCTTTATCCAGTTGAACGGAACACGGACGCGGAGAAACTCCCGCAGCGGCAAGACAAAGACGCTCCAGTCGGTGGTTTCCTCCAAGCAATCGACAAGCGGCGAGGAGTGGGTACTGCTTGTCTCCTCTCAGTCGTCGCGGGAGCTCGGGTTGCAGCAGGTGCGCTGACATCCCATGCAACGGCGAGCACCCGACGCTGCTTGACAACGTCGTTCGTCTCGGGCTCATTTCCCTTGCGCTTGGTTTCCGTTGGCGTCTTCTTGGCCAGCCGGCACGAGCGATGTGGCTGCGTCACTGTGGGAACTTGGTTGTTGTTTCGTGGTTGGCGCCAGCGTCGAAGTCGCTTCACATGGCGCGCTACGTGCGTTATTGCCTTGGCTAGAGCTGTGGCGATTGCCGGCTTGGGCTTTCTGGCCACACTGAGCTGTCGGGTGGGCTGCTTGGATGGGCTGGCACCCTGTTATGATGTGTCACGCGAACTCGGCTTGACAAGCAATTGAGGCGGTCTGGGGAAATCGTTTTATATAATTATCGAAGTAATTGTACGCAACTTGGCACGAACGGAAAAAAATGATATCCAATGGGATGCAGCGCATTTTTATTCTGGCAGCGATGGCCAACACAAGATCACCGGGCGGGCGGAGAGCCCGGCCGGCATGGACCGTCTTCATCAGCCCCGAGATGCCGGATGCCATGCGCATGAGCGTCGAGGTATGCGTCCGCGTCATGGGCGGCAACGTTGCTGCCAGCGTCGACGAGGCCATCGCGGCCGAGGGCACGCCCAACGGCCATGGCGCGACCAACGAAGGCTACATCGTGTGCTTGTCATCTGCGTACGAGACGTACGTCAAGGCGCGCGCGAGCCACTACATACCGATCGTGACGCCAATCTGGGCCTTCCGCTCCGTCTTGCACAACGCGCAGGTGCTGCTACCGACCGAGAAGTTCTCGGCCAACCCACGCAAGGTCTTCTCGTCCATCGTACTCTACACGTCGCAGGTCGAGCCCGAGCCAAGCAAGGTTCTGCGAACGCTCATTACGCATAGCGGCGGCCAAGTGCTCTCGCACCCGAGTCGGTCCGCGACACACATGCTCTGCCTTCGACCGGAAGGCGACGCGTTCCAGCAGGCGCTCGACTGGGACGCGGAGGGCGCGACGCTGCAGACCGATACGCTATCCGACGAAGACGTGCTCCGCGCTGCGACGAGCTACGTTGCCACGAACGTTCATGGACCGATCCCCGACTCTGTCTTGGCCTATATCATTGGCCAAAGCCACTTGACCAAGCACCGCATCGTCAACTACCTCTGGATCTACGAGTGCATTCGCGTGAATCAGCTGCTGCCCGAGTCGCTCTAT